AAGTACACCTATCCACAAGTTAATACACCTATCCACAAGTAAATACACCTATCCACATGTTGAAGATAGCAGGTTGTTCAGTGTCTACTATTCCTGGGCCAAACACTCAACATGAAGATGTAGTTCCCATTGTCTCAGCATTGGCAGCCCATGCCAAGTGTAACAAGGTTTCATAGGTTGGTACGCCTAGGGTCATATGTGTGGGATGGTCAAACAAATTTTGCCAAAATTAGTGCCTACAACAAAAGTGAGTGTTTTCAAAAAGGCCTGAAATAAATTCTAAAAAGTCTGACAGTACATTTCATAATAAGAAATCGCTTTTATAAAGCGCAATTCCCACAAGGTGGCTCAAAACGCTGTACAATCAAAAATTAAGTTAAAAGCGCCAATGCTCATTAAATTACTTAATCTAATCAAAATTGCTTCAAAATATAAATATGTTAAGAGAGTGAGCATACAATATCCAGAAATATCAACTAGAACATTGAAACGACTCCAAATTTCCCCTTTAAAATAAATCGATCTTGTATTCTGTGTCCCTCTTGACTATTCTGAACGAATTAAAACTGATCTCTTTCAAAATAGCTTACTTATTTTGCTGTTTCTTCCATCTCTGTCTGTTTTAAGTGTGAGGTGATAAAATTCAACAGAAAAGCCCGAGGTGGTCACTAAAATCAGTGAGGTGGGCTGCCCACACTTGAATAGGCAGGGGAAACCCTGCCTAGGGTGTGTTCACCAGCGCAATACTTACGCTGGTATGGTCCATACATGTGCAAGTACCCAATTACTTTCACTGTTAAACGCTCAGGATGGGTGGTACTGACAGCATGCCAGCCACTGCTACATGCACATGTACCTTGGAGGTGATGTGCGCTGGGAAGCATGTAACCACCTCTAAGATGGCACAAAGTAGAGTTAACAAGAGCTATTCTTACTGTGTTTGTAGTGGCATTCAGCATGTTTATGTTTCTTCAGATGAATGGTGCAATGTTGCTTAACCCTCCTATGGTTTTACA